ATCCAGTAGAAAGTCGGCTGATTGGGTACAATCAGAACTAAAACCTCCCTTTTAAAAATTAGTTTGGGGATTTTCCTTTCAGCAGTACAGGAACAAGAAACAGTGGAAAACTCAGTCTTCCAGCTGAAGTAACCGTAAATCAAGACATCAGGAGTAGCTGGAGTTTGAGTAGATTAAATTGTGGAAAAGGATAATGTCTTGAGCCTCACCAAATGAGATAAATAGCTAGATACCAAAGAGAGCACAAAAGTCTTAGGAAGGATAAAAAGAACAGGGCAAGTAAACAAAAATGCTTCATACGATACCTTCTAAATACTTGTTAAGAAGCTGGAAAAGTGGAGCGTATAAAAAGATGCATAATAAAATATAGCTTTTTCTGATTGCCCAATCTATGCAAAGTCAGACAGATAAATTTGTTACTAGGCTATGGACTAATGAAAGTTTTTAAAACTCAAGTCAGGACTACACTCAATCTTGGTATTTAATACACAGAGGTCATGGAATTCTATACAACTTCTGGGACCAATTAAATGACTGGATCAAATTATACAAATTAGTTAGATTCATATCTACTACACTTTTATACTTTGCCTTGATTGCTCAACTTGTTTGGAAGATTGTTGTGTGCAATGTTTTAATTTCTTTTCACTTCATAATGTAAACTTAGTCTGGGGACAAAGGGATCATGAAGAAAGAAATCATAGAATGTGGGACAGTGGGGAAGGACTGGGATCACTACTAGAAATCAGATGTAGACCCTTAAATGCATGAACATTATAGCTATATAATAACTAGCAATTTGAACATTACCTGCAATATATTATCCCTGCCAACCATAAGTGGAAACTTTATTTTTGGAAGATTATATAAATTGACCATAGAATGGAGTTAGAAAGTTTTAATAAAGATACAAATGAAATTTTCTTTAATCAACAGTCTAAAGAATTTAGCATAAGAAGATTAACTTTGGATATTGGCACCCACAAGCTGCCTTAGAACACAAACAGATGTGACAAAGATCTCCATCTGTTTGTAAAGGGCAAATTGCGTCTGCAGGTCTGATTTTGATCCAGGCGGCATTGAAAGGGGAGAATGGGCCCATCTTTCAGACCACTGCTTGCTTTGCTGTTATTAAAGGGGAAAAAATAAGGGCACATCTTTTTTCCTTAAAAATTCTAACACAGCTCAGAGAACCTAGTTTTGATTAGCAAATATGAGTTGGTGTTCCCAATGTAGCTCTAATCTAAATCAGGGCACATCTCCAAATTTCCTTTTACAGACAGATGGAGATTTGGGATCTTCATCATATCTGTTGTGTACTTTTAGAGCCAGAAGCAGAGGACTTTGACTTGGAACCAATCAAGTTTTCTATTAGTGCAAGAGGTAAGGGGGGCAACCTTGTCTAATTTCACCTTTTTACTGCAGGCTCATCCTACATGGATCTTTTGCAAGCAGGTGCCATAGTCCTCAGCAGAACCTTTTTGTGGAAGGGGCTCTTCCTCTCATTTAAGTTAGCTGAAAAACTTATAGGATCCAGTACCTTCCATCACACAAAAGAGTCCTTCACAAAGAGCAAGTAAGTCCAAATTTTAATTTATTTGTACTCAACAAAAGCTGGAAAATGCTGACAGTACCTGAAATTGTTCACTTATCCTAATATGTCATATTTCATAGTACACACACAGTACAAATTGTACATTATTTAGGAACACCCTCTACTATCACTTGTTGACAGTGTTTATCCCTTTGCCTCAGCAAAAATGACAGTAATTTATTCTGTTCCGTATTCCACCATTCCAACAAAAATTCCATTCTTCATATCTGAAATAAAATTTTATGGCATTTCTGAAAAATTCTCCAGGGACTGGATATGCAATAGGATCTAAGTTACCATTGTCTTGTTTTCGGTTGAAATTATGACTGCAGCGGCCTGCAGACAGACATGCATAAATCTTGTCCAATTCAGTAAGAGTACAGGAAGGTGGCATTTTATTTACAAGCAGCAGAAGAAAAACAGTAAAGAAAAGCAAACCACTTAGGATCAGAGTAGACAAACACTGGGAGACCCATGGTCAATAGCTCTGCAGAAGTGTTATTGATCCAATTGAGATAAACATATGGAAACATAATGGTACCTCCAACAAAAAAAAATGCCTCCATAGAACTGTTTCAGACTGGGGCAATAGCATTTTGAGAAAGGGTTACCTTCATTTCTACTTCTGCCTACTGTATCAATATACATAAAACTTCAGCTGCGTGCAAAGTTCTCCTTGATATGCACAGATTACATAGCTGGATATCAAAAGGCTGCACTACAGAGGCAGGGAGAAAGAATTAAAAGGGGGAGGGGAGATCTCTGTGAGAAACCAAAGAGAGGCCCCGGTCACACGGGCAGGAAACTGCGGGGGGGAAGTGTGGCTGTTTGCCCTGGGGCAAACTAACACGCAGTAAAGCGATCATACCTCCTGTGGAGGTTCTGTGGAGGTACCGTGGAGCTTCTGTGGTTACGGAGAGGCGTCGATCACAACACATGCCTGCGCACAATGAAGAAGTGCGCGGCGCGGTGAACTAGTTTTCTTTTTTTGTGTTCACTATGAATGCGCATGCTCCGTTGGGTGCATGTGCGCAACCACGGGGACTTGGGAAAAAAAAACTTTTTCACAAGGGGACATGGGCGGGCGCCAGATGCCACCGGAAACGTGATCAGACGCCCGCCCTTGCCCCTCAGTTTCCGGAAACTAGTACCTCCGAGGTACTAGTTTTTTGCTGCGCGGTTTCGGGAGGAAGCCTCGGTTGTGCCACAGAAGCGCTATGCTCCCCAGATGTGCTGGTGAGATCGCGCCCGGAAACTCCGCCTGTCTTCCGTATCTCTTGTGTGGCTAATGTTGCGTGTGACCGCAGCCAGAGTACTGAGTACCAGAGTGCCAGAGGCCTCTGTGTGCAAACCAAATATTAACATATACAGTGCAAAAAGTACAGTGTGATGAGTGAAAACAGTCCCTATACACAGTGCAAAATACAGAGACCTTGGCTTTTTTGGTACATGCAAGATTTTCAGAATTACACATGAGAAATTGGATCACAGTTATTTTTGGATTTCTTAGTGTATGATCTTTCACCTCACTTTTTTGCCGCCTTCCTTTTTTGTTGTTTCTACTAATTGGTTTATACTTTATGTGTTACAGATATGTGATTTAAATATACTTATTAATCCTCTATGATTGGCTGATAAATAGTAAGTGTAATTTTTTCTGCTGTTAATAAGTCCGCTTAGATGTTATATCATACTTTAAGATGTTTTGACTCTTGTCTTTTATAGACAACTAGGAGTAAGGCCTGTTATGGGAAAAAATACAGTGAGCTCTAGAAAGAGGCTCCAGGTGAGTGTCCTGGCTGTGGCTGGTGGGGCGGCGGAGAGAAGGGGAAAATAGAGGAAGGCAAGCCATGCTTATTTCCTTCTGCTTAGCTATAAGGCAGCGCTGGCTCGAGTAATTTTGCTGCCTGAAATGGGTAGTATGGGAGGAGAGCCGCATGTTAGCAGGTATGGTTCCTTCCACCCCTGACTTATGTTGAGTTGAGGCTATGCAGTGGCAGCTAAGGTACAAAAGCACCTCCTCCTATGCCATGTTTTCTGGGTTCCAAGGGTCTGGAAATCGGTTCCATAGCCAGTTACAGGGTTGCTAACTCTGGGTTGGGAAATGCCTGTAGATTTGAGGGGTAGAACCTGGGGAGGGCAGCGTTTGCGGGTGGAACCTCAGCAGAGTATAATGCCATAGAGTCCACTGCCCAAAGCAGTCATTGTCTCCAGGAGAACTGACCTTGGTCATTTGGAGATCAGTTGTAATAGCTGGGAAATTTTATGTAGGGGAAATGATGTACTGTGGCTGGGGAACACAGTGATTTCCGGAAGATCTCTAGTGAACATTTAGGGGGAAATTGGGAGATGTATTTTACTTCAGGTCACATTCAATGACTTCCAACAGCGAACTGTTTATAATGTTGGAGGCGAGGGCCAATCAGGCTGCATATACAAATGACCTCTGTGTTCTGACTGGCTATGGGATGACATGCAGAATGCCCAATAAGCCCACATATGCAAATGACCTTGAAAGGATGACCCAATCAGGTAGAAGGTGAGTTGTCAGGAACATGACTATATATATCTAGATCAACTACAACTGTTAAAGGCCATTCTGCAATGGGACTGTAACAGAAACAATTCTGAAGAAGATATCAAAATGGTGTTTTAAATAGAATACAGACTGTCAGTTATACTTTTCCCTTTTGTTATAACTCACTGTATTATACATTGATTTCCCCCCCTATTTGAATGATCATACTTTATTGTATTTTGCACTGTATATAGGGATTGCTTTCACTTGTCACACTGTACTTTTTGCACTGTGTATATTAATATTTGGTTTGCACACAATTCAGTATATAACCTTTTCATTTGTGTGGCCTCTGGTACTCTGGTACTCAGTACTCTCTTTGGTTTGCACTTCAGAGGCTCCAGCTACACAGAATGTGATGTGTGTGAAATCTTTAAAAACCTCTGTATATGCAATAGGAGAATTCTCATAAAATGGAGAAGGTATGTGGTCTGTCTTCTCCCATTGGAAGGGAATGAAAGATCTATGGATAACTGGTAAAACTACATATTTCTCCCTCAATTTGGAAGAATTTCTTACCAGTTGTTAAGGCAGTATATAATACAATGGAAGGGGATGAACACACTTTTACTGTACGACACGGCATGAATGGTTGACTTCTTTCTTGCCCAGGATTGCATCCAATATTTACAAATAAATTCACCTTGTGGGTATTCACCTGAAATTTCTCCAGTGCATTTGGTTAATATAGTATACATTTCTTTTGTGGGTGGTTAAAATAACTATTTGGTAAGTGTATGGTAAAAACTTTAATCAGAGGACCTTTGTAGCTACAGGGTCACATTAAAAGTGCATAGCATCTGTTAATGACAAGAACAAATTACTTACATTTGCTGAGAGCTGCGATGTAAGGGTGGCCACTTTTTCCTGTGATGCCACCAGCTCTCTTCGTAGTTTATGAATTTGCTTGAAAAGAAGAAAATACATTTTTATTAACTTAAAAAATATCAGTATAAACTTATGTTTAAACCATGAAATTATTGAACATTCCAAATTACAGCAGTAAAAATAGCTGGGATATTTGTCCCCAGTATTTGTATATCCAGCAAACACACTTTTCTAACAGTTTATTCAATGTAGGGTTGCCAGGTCTTGCCATGGCTGCAGTGGGAGACTTTGGGGGGGTATTCTGGGGTGGTGGGCATGTCACACAGGGAACGCTCTGGTATTAGGGCAAACTGGGGGGTTTTGGCCTAAAACCATAGTTTACCCAAATACCAGAGCACACCCCCCCCCCCGGTGGGACATCCCTGGCATGATGAATGGGATCTCCTCCACAGGGCAGCTGGCTGGCGGTGGGCTGAAGCCCTGAAAATTGGGGTTTCCTCCAGCACAGCAGGGATAATGGCAATCCTAATTCAATGGCTTTAAAGATGCCAGTTAGATACCATATATGAGGGTTGCTGGGGCAAGGGAAATTCATGGCATTAATGATGTGGATTATTTTACCCTGCCCCCCTTTTTTCTTCAAGAGGCAAAAAGCAGGATGAGCCAGGGCTGGAGAGTCTCCAGCCAATGGTTAGAGGGCAACATGGTTCTTTATGAGGAGATATTCCCTCTCTCTAACAGCCTTTTGTCAATA